TTTAAAATTTAGCTGGAGTGGCTATTTTTTTTTTCAGGGTTTCTCATATTCCTCCCAGTATTTGACATGTGTTTGCTTTACAGATAGAGAATGTCCTTGTGGAATGAGAGTGTTAATCTACTGAGAGATAAAAAGCTAGATCAAATAAAACATTTATGTGCCTGAAGGAAAGGCATTTTAGCTGCGTCACCTTTATAGTCTGTTGGTGAAAGCACTCAGTGAGGAAGTGGGAGACCTCAGTATTAATTTCTTACTCCAACAGACAGGGCTGAAAGGGGTGATGTGCTCAGTGTTCCACTACAGAGGAAATAATGTGAAATGTTGGGTCAAAGGCATAGAGAAGGCAAACAAGAAGCATGCCCCTGCAGACTAGGGTTAGCCTATCGAGTGTACTGTACACCTCTGAACTAGACATCACACCAAAAAACCTACTCCAAGTGGCCTGCTTTTTAATTCATCAGAGAAGACTTAATAGAGTTAATAGAGGGACATAGGAATCCTCATTTTCTTCCTGTTGTCAACAGGATGTACAGCTTTCTCTGTCAGCAGTAAGCTATCAGCAAAGAGTATCACATAAAATGAATGACTGCTGTTCACAAAAATGCTGAAACACAACTAATTGATTTTGATGAAGCAGGCAGCTATATTTGTGTACTTTACATTCAGGACTGTTAATAAAGCATTTTTGTTATGAGAATTACATATAGACAAACTGAATTAAATGTTATTTTGCTTTTCATTAGATTTCTTGGAGAAGAAAATTGCTTTACAGCAGAAGGTTATTGAAAGAAAAGCTCCTTTTTTAGTGTAAACTGTATCATTGGTGTAATCTATTAAAAATAAGCTTCTGCAATTTCTGTTTTCCAAAAGAAAAAAAGGAGAGGGTGGGAAGAGGAAGACTGGAATTGTGGTAAGATGTTAGACTAGGACTAAGACACCAGATTTCAATTCCTAGTATTTTCTGTGCCTCTCTTTTATTCCTGTAAGATACTGGCAATCTTTCTCTACCTTATCAACTCTTGTGCAGTTGAATTAAAAAATGTTTGGGATGCTGTAGTGAAGGACATGTGCCAGAAGATATAAACTACTTAAAATGTCTTCTGTTGTACTCTAAGGGCTGCCACTTCAAACAAAGGCAATGTACCAACTGTAGGTATCACCTAAATTCAGACCAAGCACGATAGTCACTGAGAGTTGAAAATACCCCAGCCTTTCCCCCAGAAACCAGTAATCGAGTCATCCACCTGCTGGAGGACTGGGCATCTGGAATAACCATCTGAACACTGACTCTTTGAGCAATTTGCCAATTTTTTGCTTGCTTGAGAAGCAGTATTTCTACTATTTCCATGTCACATAGCACCCTTAGTCTTTCTTAGAAGTTCAAAGTGATAGGAAGCCATAAAATTAAAGCCAGCTCAGTTATCAGAGTGGGATCCAGGGAAACTTCACAATACACCCTAGAAAATGCTGACTATTCCTTTCCAATGTGCCTTAATCATCAGACTTCCTTTTCTGGTCTGAAACAGAGATGTGCAGGGTGTATAATATGAAGTGATGTTTGCAAAAACTAGACAACATTCAGTGTAGCATTATTGATGCTACGTGGCCACTTGAGTCCCAGTGCCAAAACCGTATTTTGGGCTTAATTTCAAGGACAAAGTACAAACTTAAGCTTGGTGTTAAACACTGAAGTGAGCAATCCCTTATCCCTACTTTCTCCTGTGCCATTTTTTGTATGACCTAGTTGACCCACAGTTGTGAAAGGCAAATTAACATCTGCTATTGTGCATTGAAAGAAGGCAAATTCCTTCACTGTACTTGTCTAGAGTGCAAAGAAGGTAAATAAATATCAATTCCTCTGGTGTCATGAGTAGTCACTTCCTCACACACCACTCCTCCTCCAACTCAGAGCTTTTTTTTCTGAAGCATCTAGTTGCCTTCCACTCACCAACAAGGTCACAACCACCAAAACAAACTCCCAAATAGCATCTGGACTTCACTTTGCACAGCTTGGAGGTATTCTCTCTGCTTCTTGACTGGAGTCATAGTTTAAGGTTAGAACATTCACCTAAAATTCATGTTAGTACTGACATTTCCTATGAAATCCTTATGCTTCTCAGATGCAGTTCTAACCAACACCAACTTTCACAGCACAAGAAGGAGACCAACAGTTTTCTTCTCTGAAAAACAAATGCAATCAGAAAGTGCTCTTCACACACCTTATACTGAAAATATACAGTAGGGTTTGTTGCCCTGGTTATATTGTCAACAACCTCTTGACCCACACCTTCTATGGATTTGAACAGCAGTCAAAGTTAAGCAGAGAAGACTGCTTTCCTTTTACTCCTGTACATTTGTGCACAAATGTTTGCTTACATTCCTCAGGCACATTTACTGAAAAAGAGGCAATGTCTAAGGAAGCTCCTAACATCCTTGCTTACACTGAGTAGTTTCCTCATTCACAAGTAAACTCCACCGAAGTTTTCTGGGCTTACTCACAAAGGGGGATACAGCTCAATGTTGGCAAAGCTGCTCGCATGTAACCTTCAATTTCAGGTCTACTCAGAAACTGCCAGTGCTCCTGGAACAACGTGACTTTTCAGAACAGAGATCACATAGAACAAGGGACTGATTCCTATTTTAGGCAAGGATTTAAAGCTGGGATCCAGTGAAATCTCCGATATATGAGGCTCCCCCCTATGCACCAAGCCTTGAAGAGGCTAATTCTGCACTCACGCAAAAGTCACACAAAGAGCTAAAGGCAGCAGCGCTGATTTCCCACCCTAGACAAGTTGCAGTGTTCAATATTTAAATAACCAACCAATAGAGTTACTATTCAGAAAACTGGTTTTGAAAATGAAACTAACTTCTCACTTTAGACTGACAGAAAATCTACTTCAGGGTGAAATAAGCAAATGAAGAGTTAAAAGATCATGTGCTTGCTGTTAAAACCAGTATGACTTCATAGCAACATTTCCTTCTTACACAACAGTAAAAAGTGTTTCAACCAGTGCGTCAGATGTGATCAAAGACACAAGTGGACACGTTTGAAACGTAAAATATCTTCTCCTTTTTTTCTTAAGCAAAAGCTGCATTGACTTTTTTCCTGTATATGTTATTAGCCAACTTACAGTGACAGAAAAGCCACAGCTTGAGTAGCAAAGCTGATAACTGTTCATAAAAAGTTACCACCACCCAATATGTTAGAAACAAATTCCAGTCTTCAGCTATTGCAAGTAATAACAGAACACTATAATAAAAAAAAATAAATCAGCCCCATTTTACTTCCTTGGTGCATATTCAGTGATTACATGAAAAACAATTTTTATAGAAATCCTCTATATTCACTGATTTATAAAGGGAAATGCATTTTAAAGGGGTGTAAACTGCACGTCTTTATTGATAATGTTACTTTTTAGTCTAGCTCAGAAGGAATGTAATCGGGTGAGTAACTGTGATGATAAATAAAATAAAACCACAGAAAATGCCCTGTTTTTACGTATGCTGCTGCAGCTGGATATACAGTGTCTGCATCAATCTCTTTTAGACATTTGGAAATGCAAAATAGAAACATTATTTCCTTTACGTTTATAATGACCACAGAATAATTTTATAGAGAAGAAATTACTTTTAAGGCACATCAGTCATTCCATATGTAGTTCATGTCGACTAAAATCTGTCAATTAAATTTCATTTCCATAGATTCCTCAAATTCTACAAGATAAAACAAAAGGGAAGGATTATTTACACAGGCAACAAATATCATTGTCTACACACTGAGAAACCACTCTAAACGAGCATTAAGTGACAAAAGCAGACCTTCATCTTGGTGGGAATAAGTATCTCTAATGAAGCTGTCCAGTAGCTCAGAGGTAGCAGCTATGTACCATGTGTTGCTTTGGTTGCTCTGGCAATTACATAGTTTCTTCAGATTAAACAAACCTGAACTTTTTAGCTACATTGTTACCTATAAATAATACGAGCTTGCTTCAGCTCTTCCTGATGTGACTTTAAAAAGAATTCTCCATTTTGTAAGAGAGAAATGGCTTTTAATTTCCTCATCTTTGCTATCTTTTTTTTTCTCTTGTCTCAGGTACATATTTGTACCAAACCATCTGCTATTTACAAAGGGATGCTCCTGAAAATAAGTCTTAACATCTTTTCTTTAGGTGCAGATGTGCAAACAAAGCTCAAATCTTTTCACAACTCCAAGCCTTATATCAAGTAAGGATCCAGTAAGTTATGGATTCAAGACTTTGAAAATGTCTCATTTGTTTCTTTAGTGAAATCAAGCAAAATTTGGTGCAATCTTCTAATCCTCACGTCTGCAGAACTCCCACTTGAGTTGGCCCTGAGGTTAAATTGTCTGTTGAATTAACAGCAGACTCCTAGCTACTGACAACCTTCTTTTCTAGGGTTAAGTGAACCAAATGCTTACTATGAAAAACTGATGAAACAAAGTGACTGCTCTATCATTTCTCCTTATGCCATAGATATTTCAAGAGAAGAGAGACTACAGACACGTGTCAGACAGAACAGAGGGAGTAAAGAAAGGGATATCTAATGATTCTCAGACAATTTAACTGTTTCAAGAAGCCTGCCATATAAGATTAGAATTTGCTCTGTTTTTCAAAGAGCTGTTTACTACAGAAAGGTTCATTTCAGGCAGATGCCAAATCCTGCTGCCTATGGAAGGAGTGATGCACCTAAAATGGAGCAGTATTTACCCACAAACAGAATACACACTTTGCAGCAGCACAGCTGGAAAGGGATGTAAATGCTCAGCTGAGTCTTACACTTGGTATGCATTCAGCGGTGAATGTACAGTCACCAGACCCTGTCTCTCCTCCTCTTCTTTACAGCTCATGACATTTTACAAACTCATGGGAAATACGGTTTGCTTTAATAGCTATTCAATAACTATATCTTCTCCCCTCTTCCCTCCCTTCCCCCCAACAAAATCCTCTGAAATCATAAACTAGAAATCCAAACAGCAAAAGGGAAAGAAAGCAACATTAATATTAAAGGTTTGGAACAGCTGCACCTTCTTTTGAAATCTGTTCTCATACACCACTGATGATCTGCAATGTATGCTTCTCATTAAAAAAATAAATACAAAGGATTTAGTTGTTCTAGACTGTAAATAAGGAGGATTTAAAGACCTTAGTGATGTAGTGATTGCTCCTCCTCTTCAAATCTACATATCAGACTGCCTCCAACTGCCTGTCTGAGGATGAGAGCAGCTCGCACCCAGCCCCTGAGATAAACCTTTTGAGGGGAACGTAAAAAGAGAGGGTGTGGGGGAGTAAGTTCCCCAAGACACATGCAAGTTGAGCTGGTTGGAAATCCGATTTTTTTTATTTTAACTCAGAAAATATTAGGTGAGTTCACAACCATGATTTTTGTTTTCCCCCCACTACCTGCTTCAGGATACCAAGGTGCTTAGGACACTGATCTGAGATGGATCTTACTGCCTGGCAATCCAAGAGGGAGAAGTAAGGTCATAGAGAGCATGTGCTCCTTTTCATATTTCATGAAGACATGCAAGACTCACAGGTTTGTCCCACTGACCAATCAAAAACTATGGGAAGATAGAAAAAGTTTCCCATCCAGCTCTACATGCAAAGACCCCTCCAAAGAAAAGAAAACCCCACGCTTTCTCTTTGATTTAAGCCCTGTGTAAAATCATCATTCAGAAGGTTTTAACAGTACAAAGGTTTATTTAGAAAAGAGTTTGGATTGTTCTTTAGGACTTTTTTTTTTTTTTTTTTTTTTTTTTGGCAAACATTTAAATCCTTTTGTAACTCAGAAAACTGCCAGTGCCTGGTACTTTGCACTTTCTTTGCCCACGTAAGCAGTAAAAGCTAATTTCTTACTGGGACGAGACCATCACAGGACCCAGCTGCTCTATTTATAAATACTCAAATCTTCATCACCACTGCCACTTAATCCTTTCCTCCTGATGTCTCTGCTTGTTTTCCCACAAAATTCCAGATCCTGTAAAAGCTCACTGCCTCCCAAAATCAGTGTCAGCCTATTTTCCTCTGTGGACTCCCCATGCCCTCCATCAAGGTTCAAAGACAACCACTCCCCTTCCCTTTTACCCATCCACACTCCAGCACCATTCTGTACCATTGTGAATGCCCTCAGCCTCCCTGGCTCTATGTCTATACCCCACAGCACCACTCTGCTCCACTGAGGGGGCGAGCCCAAATCCCATGTTCTCTTCCCTCCCTTCTTTGTCAGCACAGAGCCTTTTCCTCTTTTAACTCTACTCCTGTTCAAGGCAAATTCATGCCTCCAGCTCAATGCCAGAAGTTCTTCTTCTTCTTCTTAAAAAGAATGTGTTTAAAGGATCTGCGAAAGTCCTGGTTGAAGATGGTGTAGATGACTGGGTTCAGGGAGCTATTGCAATACCCAATCCAGAAGAAGAACTTGAAGAGAGTCTCAGGGACCTCACACGCCTCCCGGCAAATACCATAGAGGCTGTAGCTGAAGAAAAAAGGGAACCAGCAAACTACAAAGACCCCCATGACCACGGCCAACACGAAAGTGAAGCGTTTCTCCCGGGCTTGGGTGACTTTCTTACGGCAGATGCTGCTACGCTTCCGGCGACGACGATATGAGAATAACTGCATGGAGCGATTGCTAGCGCGGGACAGACGGCTACTAGAGTGCTTGGAGGAGTATGAGTAGGAGAAGGACTGGCTTTTGCTGCTTTTGCGGGGATGCTCCTCCCGGCTCCGCCTCCGTCTACTCTCTGAGGTGCTGCTCTCCTCCAGCTCAATGTCCTCCAGTTCAGAGGCTTTGCGCCAGTGGTGCACTGAATAATGTCCATTCTCTCCCAGCTTCATCCTCACGGATGTGCAACCGCCAGCAACGCGGCTCAAGCCATTCTCAGTCTGGGAGGACCCCTCTGGCATTGTACGCTTCTCAGAGAGGGTCCTGGTCCTTAGCTTGGCCACGCGGTAAATGCGGATGTAGACCAACACCATGATGAGGCAGGGGGCAAAGAAAGAGCCAATGCAAGAAGAAAGGATGTACCACGTCTCATCGTTCAACTTGCACTGGGGAAAACTGTCTCCCTCGGGGTCCCGGTACATGGAGATCAATGGAGGGAAGGAGATGACAGCTGAAATGAGCCAGACAGTGAGGATGATGGCCTTGATCCTCCGGGGGGTCCTTTTGAGGTTGTACTCCACCGCCTGTGTGACTGACCAATACCTGTCGAGGCTGATGGCGCACAGGTGGACGATGGAGGAGGTGCAGAAGAGCACATCCAGCGCCAGGTAAATGTTACACCAAGTCTTGCCGAAGTACCAGTAATTCATAAGCTCGTTGGCTAAGGAGAAAGGCATGACCAGGGTAGCCACCAGGATGTCCGCGCTGGCTAGGGACACCAAGAAGAGGTTCTGGGGTGCTCTCAGCGCCCGGCTGGTGAGCACAGCTATCACCACCAGCACGTTGCCCACGATGGTGAAGACGATGAGGAAGCCCACTACCGCCGCCAGGCCGGCCACGGCCGCCGGGGAGTACGGGGAGGGCGGCTGCAGGAGATCAGAAGAGGACGGCGAGGAAGGCGGTAGCGCCAGGGACTCGTTGGGGGAGCCCAGGCTCGTGTTCACCACCAGCAGCAGATCCATGGTGGTGTGCGGGGCGCCGGAGTCCTAGAGAGCCCGGCGGAGCCCCCGCCCCGCCCCGCCGCCCCACCGCTGCCGCCCCGCTGCCCTCATCGCCCCCCGCCAACGGTCCAAGAGCCGCCTTGCAGAGCGGCTCCAGCGGCAGAGCCGCGCTCCTCTGCCCCCCGGACCCTCAGGGCAGGGCCGGGCAGCGCCGCCCCGGAGAGGCAGGGAGCCCAGCAGAGCTACCTCCGCCCGGTCCTCGACGAGGGGGCAGCGAGGTACAGCTGGCCCCCGCCACCCGCCGGGTCATGCCCCGCTCAAGGCAGCCTGCAGCTCCGGAGAAGAGCCCCCCCAGCCAACGGGAGTCGGGGGCGGGAGCTGGATCCTCGCAGGGAGCAGGGTCCGAGGCGGCAGCAGCAGCAGCAGCATCCAATCCCATGGAGAGCGGCCCCTCTCCGGCGGCACGGCGGCGCGAAGTCGCGGCTACCCAGCGGCTCCGTCCTAGACTCGCATCGCGCTTCCAATCGGCGGTGTGCCCCGCCGCCGCGCGCATGCTCAGTGCCGACAGGTGAAGCCGCCGAACCCACCCGCCTCCGTGGAGCACCCCGGAGGGCGGAAAAACGCCCCGGCTGCTCCCGCCGCCCCACAGCTACTGCCGCCCCGTCTGCCGCCCCGGCACCCACGGAGCGGCGCAGCCCGGACGCCTTCTCCTCCCCGCTGCGGCGCTGTCCCACGGCGGTCTCAGGGAGGAGCGGTGGAGCGGTGCTCCCCGCCACTCAGCGCAGCTCCTTACCCCTCTTAGTGGCCGGACAGGTGCTTGTTGTCTCCGCGGCGCCGGCTGTGAGGGGAAGCGGCCCTGGCGGAGCCCGCCCCGGCTGGTGGAAGCTGCCGGTGCTGTGGGAAGCAGCGGCGGGCTCACCTCCCAGGCGTGCGGCGAGGGTGCTCGCTGTGCGATGCCGGCCTAGAGCGCTAGGGGGCGGCCTTGTCCACCAGCATGAGGTGCAGCCGTCGCCTGAGGGGCCGCGTCGCCCTGAGGGGACCGGGGGCAGCGGGGACCCGGCGGCTCCTGGCGGGGTTGTAGAGCTGTGCTTAAGCACAGATGTAGGGTATCTGCTTGCCAGGGTAAAGCCCTCTCCCCGCCACACGGTTCTCCCGTGCAAGCCCGCACCGGCAGAGTGCTGGCCTGGGAGGGAAGCAGCAGGGAAAATCTTTGGGGCGTTTTGACTGTAGTCATGAGAGCAGAGAAACCTCGGTAATATGGGAAGCACTGAGCAAACTTAAAGTGTTATTTCCACTGCTTGGGCTTCCGGACTTTCTCTGGAAGTACATGAGAGCTTGATCTATCAGTAGCCAGAGATAATCAGAGCAGGATATGGCTGTCTCACTGCCCCTTTCCACAGAGGGAAGCAGAAGGGGAGTGGGGCATGTGACTCCTGTGAGGAGCACATCTTCAGATCTCCTTCACTGATGGCCTTGTGGCTTATGTTACCTTCCTTTGGATGGAAAATTTGAGAAGTGACAATAAAAACGAAGCCACGGCCACTTTTATGCCCCTTTCTTCAGCTGAACCTGCTTACTGGAGGGTGGAAGGCATTTCAGTGTAGTCCTGGTCTGTGGTGGTATGTGATTCTGAGAAAAGCCACTGCCCTGCTCTGGAGAATATGTTGTCTTTTGTTAAGCCCCTTCTTCCACCTGTTCTCCCTACTGCTACCAGTCCCCAGATCTTCCTCTGGATATTGCCTGTGGTACACTTAGGTGAGGGTTACAGGAAGGTAAAGAGAATAGCCATATACACAGCGTGCCTCTTCTGGAAGCACGTCCTGCTGCCTGGATCACAAGGTCTTCAAGGCAAGGACTGTCCCACTGGTCTCTTTGCTGCTGCGCTTGCTTTTCTTGTGCCACACTGCAAAAAGCCTGTGCTTATATAATCCTAACAACAGTAGCATAACCCTAACCACAGGATTAGCTGTGTTCATTTCAGGTGAGCCAGAATATGAATTCATCCACAGCCAATTAATTCACTTTTCATCCGGTATAATTCATTCCTTTTATGCTGTGTGGCGGTGTTACTGGCTTGCAGGGGATGAGTGTTTTCCCCCATTGTGACAGTGTAAAAGATATGGTAAAGTGGTAGATATCTACAGCAGAACTTGCAGCACACAGTGGTGCTGAAAACCACAGGATGATTGGATTCCATGGCTAGTACTTCGTTTTGGAGCTGCCTAAACTCCTTCGTCATCACCCTGCTGACTTCTAGAGGAACCTGATGTTTTGCCTGTGGGCATTCGCAGTCTGAGCATTTGGTTTATGCCTCCCTCCTGCGCCCCATCTGGACCCAGAAATGCAGTATCCCTAGGTCTTGGGAGAGTCACAGTCTGGTACATGTTCTGCTTATTACTGCCAGGTTTATATTTATAACACAAAATTGGGAGTAGTGAAGACAAATACATTCTAGAGAACTTCTCTTTCTCTGTATAACATTTAAAATAATAAAATACTTGATATTTTAATGGTGCACAAGTTGAAATACAACAGCCTGAGGTTTTGGGGGTTGATAAGGGATACTGTGATTCCAGTTATCTTTTTAATGCAGCCAGGGCTGGCTCCTGTGTTCTCTGTGTAGGTACATGGACTGGAGTATGAAGGGTTAGAAGTGAATATGCTTAGCTCTGATAGGCATGAAAATTCCTCTGGAGATTATGATCTAATTAATCTGTTTTGTAAAGCAATTTAGTCTGAAGGTTTGTTTTTTTCTTTTTACATTTGAAATCTAATTAACCAGATGATCAGAGAACTGGAGCACCTCTCCTATGAAGACAGGCTGGGAGAGTTGGAGTTCTTCAGAATGGAGAAGAGAAAGCTCTGGGGAAACCTTATAGGAGCCTTCCATTACCTAAGGGGGCCTACAAGAAAGGTGGGGAGGAACGTTTTGCATGGGCATGTAGTTATAGGACAAGGAGTGATGGCTTTAAACTGAAAGATAGGAGATTTAGGTTAGATATCCTAATCCCTGTGAGGCTGGTGGGGCACTGACACAGGGTGCCCAGAGAAGCTGTGGCTGCCCCATCCCTGGCAGTGTTCAAGGCCAGGTTGGATGAGGCTTGGAGCAACGTGGTCTAGTGGAAGGTGCCCATGGCACATGAGGTTGGATCTAGACAATTTTTAAGGTCTCTTCCAGCTCAAACCATTCTATGATTCTGTGAATAAACACATTGTGCCTGTACCTGGAAGACAAAGGCGATAATGTTGGAACTAAATTGTGTCAGGTAACAAGTTCTGATAAGAGTGAAATACAGAGGCAGTAATCACCTGAACAGCCAAAGTGTAACATATATAACAAAAGGAAATAGAAATCTGATGCCCCCTCCGGTCCTCCTAAATATACAATTAATCTGATAAAGAGGCCTCTTTAAAAAAGCTTACAAAACCACAAGATGGCTAAATGAATAGATGTTGAGGTTAGTAAAGTTCAAACAGGAAGTAAATGGCACATTTTTAACATGAAACCTGAATAACCACTGAAGCCGCTTCTTAAATTTTTGTGGTCAATTCTTCATATTTGAAAATTTCATAATGGTATCTATAAAATGAGCAGACAAGTGTAACCTTTTATATGACTGGCATTAAGGAGAAAGCAGGAATGTATGATCTAACTGGTTCCATCTGGGATTAAAATACAATAAATACAAACTGAAAAAACACATGAACATTTGGGATTCAGGAACTAACTGTCAAAAAGGGGTATATAAGAACCACAATATTTAATTCCCTTACTAGGGTAATTATGAAGTCAGACTGACCAAGTATGTCTTAAAGTTGTGTGAACTTGAACTTGAAATAAACTTTCAGCTGATGGTTTCAGGCTTCAGGTTAAAAGAGCTGAAGCTTTTGAAGACTTATCTTTGCTCAAAGTAAGTCAATGCAAAAGTTTCATAACAAAAAGAAAGAGACAAGCAAAATGTCTGAGCTGTTACTTGGCATTTCTTATAAGGAAATGCCAATTGGGATTTAAAAAAAAAAAGAGAATTAAAAATTTGGAGCAAAATATACACATTTTGTTGTGGTTTTTTAGCACTGAAGTTCTACTCTGAAGCTGAAACAATTTGGTATTCAACTCCACTGAAGCCAGGGAAGTAACTTTTGAGTTTTTATGTGTGTAACTGAGATTCAGTTTGCTTAAATAGCCATATGTCACCCCAGCTCATGTATATGGAGCATGGGCACAGATACAAAAAATCTACCCTCATAAAAATCTGCTTAGTCTACTGACAAAGGTAGGAGCAGGGTAAATGACAGCAGATAAATTAAATGTGATCATTTGAGCTCATGCTTGGTAGGTGCTAACAGGATCTCATAAAAAAAATAAAAATAAAGCAGTTTAGAGTCTGTATGAGGCTCTTCTAGGCAGTAAGATGGACCTGGCTTAAACTGATCCAAGACCACACTTCCTGAAATAATCCAGCAGATACGGTGTTATAGCAATCTACCTGTATGCTGTCACTGCTGCTTTGGTTCCCTCTTCCAGCATCCCAATACAAACCTGCCATCACATCAGGCTGAGAAGAACCTGCAGGAGCAGAACTGTTTCTGACTGATTGTTGTCTCTAATTCCTGTTGGTTTTTACTTGGATTCTCAAACTGGACTGACCTTTAGCTCAGTTTGAGCTACCAGAAGACACTATTGGCCAGAGACCCATGACCTTCGCCTGGTTTTATATCTTGGGAAATCCAAAAGCTGTCACTGAGAGACTGGCCAGTTGTGGCTTCAAGATGTCAAGTCCAAACTCAGGGACAATTACCAAAGGTGATGTCAACCCAACCACTGAAGTTGGTGGAAAGTTTCCTGCTGACATCCAGATCTTTAGGCTTCTGCTAGGTTGTATAAGAACATCTGAACATCTGCTTTGAATAGTGTTGTTATGCCATGCTTGCACAAACACAGATTTAACAGTAAAAAGTGTCCTAGCTGCTTTGCACTTCCAAACATGTTTTGCCTCTTCTGTTCAAGATGTGAAGAACTTGTGTGCTTGAAAGCTTGTCTATTTTTAACTCCCAGACTTATCAGATGAGTTAGTGGAAAATATTATGTCCCCATACAAACCTGTCATCTTATACTTTATATCTTTAAGTCATCACAATTGTAACTATGCTATTAAATGCTCTTCACTGCACTTTATTTTTAATAATCCCTCCCCCCCCAGAAGAGCAACATTATGATTTATGGAGGGAATTTGTCAGCTTTCTCAATAAAGGGAATGGTATTTGATTTTCAGTGGGACCTGGGGTCCTTATTTCCCCCGTTGTGACTTTGAAAATATGTCTTGGATAAACAAACAGATTTATAGACCAGCTGGATTTATTAAACGTTTGAAAGTCCTTTTTAATCTCTCAAACTAAGCTTTACATCAATAGGCAAAATTATGCAGTCTTATCAAATGCACTAGAAACTGTCTGCTGACAAAACATTTTGTACATCTATATACTTTCTGAGACACAA